CCTAAGATGTCTGATATTTAGACAGATAGTTAGGATAAACTGAACTGCATATGTTGCAGCGTAATAATAAGATTCTCTTCTGGAGGGTTAACAACCTAAGTTTGCAGATCAAAAATTAGAGAAAAGGAAGGAAGGGCTGCAAGGTCAGCCAACATTTTGGCCCTAGCCTTTCAAGGTCAGTGAAGACTCAGGATATAGGCGAACCTGTACTATAACATCATGTAACTCAGTTATGCCCCAAATTTTCTGATCAAGGAGATTATGGAGCTACAGAGGAAGGCAATCGATGATGTAGAATGTGCCTAAGGAGAGTCACATGGAGAGAAAACGTTCTCTCAGGATTTCACAGAGAGCAAATTGGCCAAGCAATGGCCGTGACTCATCCACCTGGCTGACACTGACAAAGGATCTACAAACTGAGGTACAGGGTTTCAGGGTAAATCCTGCGGGGATTTGACTGATCTTGTCAGATAAAGAAGAATTCACACACCTGTAGTATTTAGATGCCAATGGAATACCCATCTCTGACAGGACTAAACAAAAAAAGGAGCTACAAAGGAAGGATCATTTTGTATTTGTATACACAGAATAGTTAGGATAGATACACAGCTACTTTTGCTTATTTCAATGGGAAGAAAGATTTGTACTAATAGTGTTTGGACAGGATATCCTGTCTGCATCTTGTACTATGGATAACTACTAAGTAGATAACAATGTACAATGTACTAATTATTGAAACTGTCCTATTAATCAACTTTGAAACTGTCTCATTGGTATTTGTTTCTCAATAAAATTTTTTTAAAAAGCAAATTTCCAACTCAACGTTTTGTTTCTGCTCAACGCAGGCTCTGAGTTGTCGGGGTCTTTATTTGGAATCGGCTCAAGGCTGGCTTCAGAGATGGCATGGACTCAGGGCTGGGAGCCTCCAGAAAGGGCAGAGGTGTAGTAATGACAAAAACTAAAAACAGCAAACATTTTTCATTTTTGGTGATGCTAGTCATGCTGAACATGGTTGTAAGCATTTTATATCAATTAATTTAGTCTTAATCCTAAAATGTCAGTCACATTTCAATCCCCACAAAGCCCTCATGGTCACTACACTGGCCCTATGTCCTCCCACCTAGAAGGCCATTCTTCCTACCTGCTATCACCTGGGAAAATATAAAAGGCCAATTCCACAGAAACTTGGTTGTTTCTAACAATACTCACTATTCAATTTAGTCATCTTCAGTCTACAAATCTGGTATTTTTTTCCTACAACAAATTTCTCTGTCAACACACTAGCCTACTGTTAAAAAAGAAAGAAAGAAAATATAGACACACTCTTAAAAATAGTAAGATCCTTGGGCTGGTGAGATGGCTCAGTGGTCTAAAGCACCTACTTAGAAAAAGCTTAGCAAAGCACAGGGACCGCGGTTCAATCCCCCAGCACCACATGCCAGCCAGCCCCGCCCCCTGGTGGGCTGAGCTGGCCACACACAAAAATAAATAAATAAATAAATAAATAAATAAATAGTAAGATCCTACAGAAGAGGCATCAAACCAAATTCCAAGATACTTTGAGGTCCCTCTCAGCTGAAACAAAGAAGCACCAGAAATACCTGTTGGAGCCATCCTTCATGTGGACCTTGGCGTACAGTACATCCACTGCCCCAGGGTCATCATTCATGTACTCTATCCCTGTCATCTCCACTTCCAGGGGTCTGCCCCCCGTAATGTCACTGCAATACAAAAAACATTAGACTCTTAGAACTGTTTAAGACAGCTATTACATTTTGAAATATGGTTAATAAAAACAAAGTTGTGGATTTTTTTCTAATATCATCTCATTGTCCTCCTAGTTTCAAAATTAATAAACGGGGCTGGGGAGATAGCTCAGTGGAATAAGTGCTTGCCTGGTAAGTTCAAGCTCCTAAATTCAATCCCTAGTACCACCAATAAATAAATAAATAAATAAATGTTAATGTACAAAACTGGAAAACATAGGAAGAGTTGCCCTGTTTCAGACTATTATTTATCCCTATACATCTATTAGCACCCTAAGAGATAAAAGCCAACGGATGAGAGTTGTGATTGGCAAGACACTGGCTGCAGTGGCCTGTCTCTCTGGGGCCTACATCGCTTCATCACTGCCACAAGTTACACATCACAGTCCACTCTTAACAAGACAGGTATGTAGGCCAGCATCACATCTCCAGGAGCAGCAATCTGGCAAGTGTGGTGAAAAGCCTTCAGAAAGGGGAAGGGAAATGGGGGAGGGAGAACAGGGATGTGCTGTGCACCTGCACCGACTCCCCTGGAGGAATGTAATTATTATGCCCTGCAGACATGCACCAATGAAAACAAAAACATTTAGTAGAACAATTCAGTTTCTAGGAGCCCATTCTAGGGAAAAAGTTATGAATTCAACTACAGTAATTGTCCCCAAAGTCTTGTGCAATCAAAGGTGGGTCTCTGAGGAGGTCCTGAGAGGGGAAGCCTGGCAGGGGGAGGGAGGAGGTGGGTCACTGAGGGCCTGGAAGGGCGCCCCTTCCTGACTTCTCCCTTGATCTTTCTCACTGCTGCCTGCCCCTCTGCTGGGCTGCCCTGCCTTAGAGCCAGCCAGCTATGGACTGAAATCTCAACAAACCCCAAGCTAAAATCACCCTCTCCTTCAACTTGTGGGTGTCAGAAACTGTGTCTCAACAAAAGAAAACAACCAAGACAACAAGCAACCGTGGCTGAAGAAACAACATTCTTCACTGGGGTTGGGGGGGATCTTGGTTACTTTTCTCTCATTGCTGGGACAAAATACATGACACCCAGAATTAAGGAAGGAAAGGTTTATTTAGTTCAGTTTGTGGAGGTTTCAGTCCATACTCAGTTGGCTCCAAGGCACAGTGGCACATAGCAGAGGGCAATAGTTCATGGTGGCAGAAAACAGCAAAGGGAGGAGCAGCAGCAGCAGACAGCAGGCCTCTCTCCCTTCCTTACACTGCATTCAGGCTATCTGCCCCAGGGAGGGTGTAGCACTCACACCTTAATCCCAGCGCTCACACTCATAATTCCAGCACCAGATCATGAATTAGTCACTGTTATGGTTTGTATCTAGGTGTCTCCCCAAAACCTCATGCAGTCATTGGGACATGGTTCTAGAGTTTGTGATTAATTCATGATCCAAGGCTGGGATTATGGGTCTCAGTACTGGGATTATGGGTGTGAGTGCCACACCCACTCTGGGGCAGACAGCCCGAAGGCAGTATGAGGAGGGAGGCTTGCCTCTGCCATTGCTGCTGCTGCTCCTCCCTTTTTGCCTCTGCTCTTTGCTGTTTTCTGCCGCCATGTGCCACTCTGTCTTGGAGCCAGCTGAGTATGGACTGAAACTTCCACAAACTGTAAGCTAAATAAGTCTTTCCTTTCTTAATTTTAGGTGTTGGGTATTTTTGTCCCAGCAATAAGAGAAAAGTAACCAAGACAATCACAAACTCAAGAAGCCATCCCATGACTACAAGAGGCTTTGGAGGGATGCCTAGACAAAAACCGTAAGGGAAGATGTTGAAACAGTGTCTTACTATGTAATCTAGGCTGGCAATTAACTTACTATGTAGCTCTGGCTGGGCTTGAATTTGTGGTCCTTCTGCCTCAGCCTCCCAAATGCTGGGGATTACATGTGTGTGTCACCTGGCTGTAACTCTTCCTTTTACTTATTTTCTGTCTTTTTTTTCATTTAATAATTGTGTGTGTGTGTGGCCAGCTCAGCCTGCCCTGGTAGCTGGGCTAGTGTGGCATGTGGTGCCAGGGATCAAACTGTGGTCCCTACAGTTACCCAAGCTTGCCTAAGCAGGCGTTTTAGACCGCTAAGCTGTCTTGCTGGCCCCATTTTGTCTTTTTTAAAAAAACTATTTATTTATTTATTTATTTATTTATTTTGTGTGTGTGTGTGTGTGTGTGTGTCCAGCTCAGCCCACCAGGGGGCGGGGCTGGCTGGCATGTGGTGCTGGGGGATTGAACCGCAGTCCTGTGCTTTGTTTAGCTTAGCTTGTTCTAAGTAGGTGCTTTAGATCACTAAGCCATCTCAACCAACCCCCTATTTTCTGTCTTTTTGAGGCAGGATCTCACTATGCAGTTCAGGATGGCCTTAAACTCAGTTTGTACCCCAGGCTAGGCTCAAGCTCTTTGTATCCTCCTGCCTCAGCCTCCTGCATGCTAGGCTATCAGGCATGCACCAGCACATCCAGTTCCTGATTGTTCTTTACACTGAGTTACTAAATAAATTTTCATGGGCTAAGAAAAGAAAGGATTCTCTTCTTAAAAATGGTTATACTGCCTTTTATGAGATAAGAACTACAATAAACCACTGTTTCTTCTTAGAATTTAGTTCAGAAAGTACCCTGGTGACAGAAAACACCAAATTTTAATACAACGGCACAATAATTATCTTACCTTGTTTTCAGGTAAAATTTTCTCTCCATTCCCTCATGTTTTTGGACATTCCCTCATTTATTTATTGATGTGTTTGTTTGTTGCTCAGAATTCAACTGAGGACCTCAGGGGTGCCAAGCAAGTGCTCTACCACTGAGCCACTGCACTCCCAGCCCCCTGACTTTAACATTTCTTTGGTATCTATGTGTTTATTGTAAACTACCTTAAATTTGTAGATTTAAGGATGCAACAAGAAAGAAACAAAGTAAGGGGATCCAAAGCTAGTGCGTGAACAGAAACAGAAGTGCTCGTAACCACCCTAAGACTCACCAAATAGGAGGGTGCAGAGGAGCCCAGTCTGTCTGCCAGGTGGCTTTCTTTGTCGTGGTCACCCGACTATGCCACCTTCCACCTGAGTGACCCCTGAGGCAGCGAGTAGGATGGACACTTGTCGGGCTATTTCCTCACACTCCTCTTTTTGTCGCTTTTAAGTGTGTCTGGGTGGGCCCAGCCCAGGGGATTGCTCAGGCACTGGCAGGTGACACTGGAGCTAGAGAAGCAGCGCAGTGTGTTTGTCGCTGCTCCACACCCTGAGCCATGGCGCTGCCTCTGTCCTACATCTCAGAGAAGTCACATGGGACACATTCAGAGCTTCAGCATTTACTAAACACTGAATAATTCATTCAAAATCTATAGAGCTACAGAAACCTGCAGCCTAAGAAGTGAAATGAAAACCCTGCTCCCAGCTGGATAGCACCCTCTCATGCCAAAAGGACCCCAAAATTTAACACATACTCAACTACTCATTTCTTTTAAATGTAGCACTGCAGTTTTAAGCAAATTCCAACCTAATACAGTCATCTTACTTTATACTAATGAATTAGCATTGCCGAGGAGAGCCAGCCTCATGCCCGCTAGGGAAGTGCCAGCCCCACATTTATTTCATATGCACTTTAAAATGCCCTCCAATTAAGGGACTGCACACTGTGGATGGGCCAATTAATTCTGTGTTTTCTTTTTCATGTTTTAATTTAGGATCTTTATACCAAAAAGAGTTCAGGTTAGAAATACCATTATTACTGACATTCTTTCTCCACAGTACACCAAGAGCAAATGTTGAGATCAAAGACAAGAATAAGGGGCCGGGGAGATGGCTCAGAGGAATAAGTGCTTCCCTGGCAAGCACAAGGACCTGAGTTCAATCCCCTGTTCCACCAAAAA